TTCCGTGGCTTAATCTCTATAAAAAAAACAAATTTTTATGTTGAAAGCTTCAATTTTCCTTGGATCTGTAAAAAAAATTGTGAACCAATTTGACAAAATCTTGTCTCCTTCCACCTCAAACCTACCCCTCTGCAACAATCATTCTCCTTCCTCAGATTTGTAAAAAACCCAAAATTTTTATATTGAAACCTTCAATTTTCCAACCATTCAAGTAATTAATGAAAAATTCAAGATCCAAAAACAAATTGCTCATGCAGGCAACCATGCCCAACCATTCAAGTAATTAATGGAATATGAGCCGCTCGTCCTGCACCGTCTTGTGCCACAATTTGCTCACGCAGGCAGCCATGCCCAATGTCCTTGCGTCCACATGCTTCAACACCTCGAACAACAAATTCTCGTCTAAATTCACAAACCCAATTTCTTCACCTTGAACACGGGGGAGTAGCAGTGCCACGAGCGCGTCCAAGATGGACAAGGTGAACGAGGTTGCTGAAATGCCAGATCTGGGTTTGAGAAAAACCCAAATCTGGGCTTGAGAAAAACCCAAATCTGGGCTTGAGAGAAGAAGAAGAAGGGAGAAGAGAGAGAAAGAAAGAATAAGAAGAAGAAAGAAGAAGGATGAGTAGGGAGGAGGAAAGGAGGATGTTCAAGTACTTGGCCGGAGTGGACATGCCATAGAACCCAGATTTGGGTTTGATCAAACCCAGATCTAGAGAGGAAGAAGAAAAGGGGAAGAGAGGAGAGAGAGAAAGAATAATAAAAGTTAAAAAAAGTCATGTGAGCCCCATTAAAAGGGCAAGGTGAAAATATGATGCGTAAAAAATATGTCATGTGTACAAAAAAAAAAAAAGAACATGCCATTGTAAGAAAATTTTTTTAACTGGATTTATACGTCATTAACATTTAAAAAGTTAAGTGATTTGCTGGTAAATTAACGTGACACCTGTCATTTAATTGACAGAAGGATCATTTTGATACTAAAAATAAAAATTTAAGGATAATTTTAATACTTTTTAAAAATAAAAGATAATTTTGGTGCCAAAGTGAAAGTTGAGGGATCAAAATGGTACTTAAATAAAAAATATTAAGTTTCAACTTTTTTCATTTAAAGATTAATTAGATGATAATACTAATGTAATAAACAAAATTTTCAAACCAAAATATTGAAGGTTGATACCTTTAAATAAAAAATAAAAAAATACTTTTATTTAAAAATTAATAAAATTAATATTTTTAAATAAAAAATACAAAATTAACATCTTTGTAATTTCAAATGCACCTTAATCTCAACGTCAGTGTAATTAAAAAATTTGATAAAATGGTTTGCAGCCGATGGTGTCATTTTGTAGGCGGAATGAATTTATTGAAACAACGATGTTTCAAGTTATAGCCTTCATCCCCAACCCTCCACAACCCCTAGGTTGCCTTTCTCGCCGTTCAACTTTCCCCTGTTTCCGAAGATTCACAAACACTTAAATATGAATTCCTTCTTGCTCTGTTTGGGAACATAAATTTTGCAGGGTGTATTTGAATTTGGATACTTCAAATTCAATGCAACCGTTTGTTTTTACTTAATAAAGAGTTATTGAATTTAAGTGAAATACATGTATTTTACCCAAGTAATTCAAAAGTATAAAATTCGTGTATTTCAATTTCACCCTGTAACCCATGAATTTCAATTCCAAAAATGAATTTCGTTTGCACTCTCTGCTCTCACCTACGGCTATGAAGCCTCCATTGTCTGAATCAACCTCAGCCAATGGATCGTCGGACAAATCGCTCTCAGCATTTGATTCATCATCCTCGCTATCACTCGAATCATCGTCATCATCCTCAAATCCAATTATGGGAAAACAACTATATCCATGTTGAGCTCGTGAAATTCACTGCCCCACGAGCGAGACCCATACGATGTGATGGCAAGAAATTTCCCGGACTTGGAAACTGCAAGGCTGTAATCGACAGCTCCGTAAGGTGTCAACCGCGTAATTTTCTTGTCCTTATCACCGATTTCGATTAAGTGAAGAGCTGCCCAGCTTTGGAATTGGCGATCAGGCTGCTCTTGACCTGAAACAAAGTAGAGGCGGTTGTTCTTCAAGATGGGATGATCGTGAAAGAGGCTGTGGGGCACAGATGCTAGCTACTCGGGATTGGGTAGGCCAGGGCGAATGAGATAGATTTGGGGCGATCCTGATCTTTTGGAGACGAAGACAACGGATTGGTCTTCATCGACGAATTGGGCGTTGAAGTTGATGGAGCAACCGTCAGTGAGGCGGTCCTTGGTGGCGGCAGTGATGTGGTTTAGCTGGATGGAAAAGACATCAAAGACATAGTTTGGCCTATTGATGGTGGAAAAGACGATGGTGCCTTTGGGATCCATTAGAACTAGGGTGGAAGCGTACTCGCCATTAGTGTTACTGCGTGTAGTCAAAGTGCTGGGGTTTATGAAGAGAGATTAATGTTTATCCTTTCCGGCGTGGAAAAAATTAAATAGAAAAAATATTTTAATTAGATAAAA